AAAAAATTACAGGGCCAAGATTCAGAAGATAGGTGTTAGATTTAGTTATACACCTTTGACAATCTCTTTTCTTCCTTTCCTTAACTGTAAAAAGTGTACCTTTTTTCTTGTGCTAAATCTAATATTTTGAGTGTAGTTTAATAAACTTGAATCTGGTCTCATTCACCTTTTTTTGATGCTTTTCTTTTCTTGTTTCCCTGTACCCTAGATGATTCTTTTAATACTGAACTTCTAAAGAAGACTTGGAGCATAATTGTCTAATAAAAAGCAAGCCTTTTCAACAACAACAGTATTTTATAATAAGTGCTTCTTTAATTTTCAGCCCTTTAGCGAGCAGCTTTTTACAGCAGAATCTCACCTGTAAGGTTTCCTCAAGCTTGGTACAAAGTATGTGTGCAGCATGTTGTAAACATTTCTGTTAAGGCACATTGGGGTCTTTGGATGTGTGGTTTGCTTAAAATACACTGCATCAGTAAGTTTGCGGCTTGTTTCTTCATGCTTTCTTTAAAAACATCAAAAGTTGTAAAAGGTTTATTTATTTCAGTGCATGTAGTAGTGTTTTGTGTGCGATTCTTTGTTCCTGTCTAAACTGTTATTAACTACTAAAGCGAACCTTCTCCCAAGTTTGGCCTTTTGCTATTCACAGTGTATTCAAAACCTAATTACAGATTAGTCTATATTTGAGACTTTTAGAGTGAGTATCAGAAGACTCAAAAAGAATTTGAGAGTAGCAGTATCATTTCATGTGGAGATAAAGAGACTCAAAACATGAATGGATGTCAAGTCATCTGAAGGAAAAAAGAGAAGGAACTTCATTCACTGAGACTGATGGTTTATGAGTTGGGGATTATGGGAATATTCATGACTCAATCAAGAAGCACAATGAATTGATGTTTGAAATAGTTCATCTTTTAAGTAAACATTGGATAAATAGAAAGTAGACTCAGTATTCACTACATGTAAAATTGACTATTTCAGTACAACTGAAATAGCAGTTTGTTAATCCTTTCCTGAGTTGGTTTAATTAATCAAGTAGATCACAAATTTATAAGAATTCTCTATAAATATTTAATGTAAATAGTTAATAAAAAGGAGTTTGCTTTATAGTTAATCATGGTGATATGTATACACATTTCTGCAGGAAAGTAATTTCTAATGATAAAATAGCTAAATTCAATAAGATTGGGGGATTCGAAAACACTGTTAATACTGAGACATTAATTTGGAAGGATCAGAAAGGGTTTTAGTTGCTAACATTCAGTTTTCCATGCAACCAGATAGCATAGTAAGGATAAAAAAAAAAGTGCTGAAAACTTAATCAAAATTTAAAATAAGTGGATTCAAATATGGGAAATAATGCTGCATATTACTTGTACTATAGCTTCCTTGCAAAGCCTGAAATCAGCTTCCTTTCTAAAGCTGAGTGTGTGTGTGTGTGTGTGTGTGTGTGTGTGTGTGTGTGTGTGTGTGTGTGTGTGTGTGTGTGTAGTCAGCATATTTTAGCCTTCTTAATAAGGTGCAGTAATTAAGTTCAAGTTTGTTTTTCCACTTGTATTGTGTTTTGCGACCTAAGGATTCTCTTTTTCATGCTACTTATGTTGCTCAGGTGACCCACCAGCATGCCTTGATCTCCATTGTCTCTGTGTACCCTTGCCTCTTGTTCCCAGACTTGCTCCAGCTCTTGTGGCCCTGCCTTCTGCCCTCTTGGTCTCTGGTATAACAGCCAAGAAGCCTGTCAAGTTTTGTTTTCTTGATAACCTTCAGCCCTTATTTTCTATGCTATTTTGGGGGGAACATCATTTATCATTTATCAAATATTTATTGAGTATGGTGAGTCAGAAATTGTTGACACTGAAGACACTGAACATTTTTTTGTCAGTTTTCATACTCATATTGTTCTCAAGGGTTTCTCCAAATGTATATAGATCTGAAGAAGTAGTAATCTTCATCAGAGGATGATAATGTATTGTACATTTTTTAGTCATCTCTAGGCACAGAACTACTTAAGAGGTGCTCAGTAACTATTCTATTCCTAATTTTTACCAAAGTATGTCTTATTTCATATAAAGGTAATACTTATACACTTGAAATAATAGCATTTGTTTCATTATCATTTAGAGTAACAAACATTAGATCTGGCAGATCTAATGTGTGTTTCTGAACCAGAGGAATGTGTACAAGGCTGACTCTCCAGGCTTAATATCTTCATCTTTGGTACTGATACCTGCAGAATTGTATGAGGACCAAATGACATATGAGATTCAAAATCACCCAAAACTTCATAGACTTAGAACGAGATACAGAGTAAGCAAAGAATTCTTCTCAAGAGCAGGATATCATCTGTGTCCCCATGTCACTCCATTAAGTACATTGTGTAAGTGAAGGAAAGAACAAAGAAATGAATTTTTTTTTTAGTGTTAAAAGGATACATTTATCACAATTCTTTTTTCTTTTAACATTTACTTCTCTTCTCTCTCCCCCCATTACTTCCTAGAACTTTCTTAACTGCCCTTTATGTTATTCTTGAGGTTTCAGGGCATGGTGGTATAGTGTCCTGATATTGTACTTGTCTAATATTTGTGAAAACAGCTTTTTAAGGGAAATTTTTTATTCTACGGTTTTTATATAAAAGTCGAATACTCCTTTTACTTTCATTTAGGAAAAAAACATAGCTTATCTTTAATTTTAGAAGAATTTGAATTTGATTTAGAACCCACAGTTAGACACCTGCATCAGAGTGGTTCTCAGTCTCTTTCAATACAAATAGATCTGACTCAGACCCGTCTCTTGTGAGTGATGCTACTGTACCACCCGCTCACAGATAGTCTGTCCCCTGAGGATGGAGGTCATTGACAGGGCAAAAGAATGGATGGAGCTGGCCCTGCAGCTGCCTGATTGTCCTCAGATCATGGAACAAATAGAATCAGATTTCCTCTCTTCATACAGTATGGCTTTCCCAAGTAGAAATAGTTCCCAATGAATATTTAGAGGGGCTGCTGAGGCTCTAAACACCTGTTTTAAATTTCCATGTGTTGTGCTATTTAAACTAGATGATTTTTTAAAGACCCCATATATTTCCAAAATTCTATAAGACAATTTACAAAACTCTTTTCTTCTGCCCTCCCCTCCCCCCATGTTTTTAAATTCTTCAACTGATGAACAGCACAATGTGGAACTTTTAATATTCATTGAAGAAAAAATAGGTGAAGCTGTTTCTAAGCAACTGAATGAATTAATTTTAAAAATAAAAATGTGGCATTATTTTGAGAAAGGAAGAATGTTTGCTGGTTTGACTGCTGGTTAAAAATATACAGACTAACAAAAAATATAGACTAAACTTCCAAGAGATGGGTTGGGATTATTTTTTCTAGTTTGTCTAGTTTAACTTTATTTATAAAGAGTTAATGCTGCCTTTGCGAAACTATTACATATTTTTTCAGTGAATAGTTTGATTAAAACAATGGAGTTTATTTTTCTATAGATTTTGTGTTAATCTCAAAATACCAAGAATTAGAATTATTAAATTACTGGAAAAAGAATGTGAAGATATTATGTTCTTTATATGTAGCCATGATAGGCTTTGTTGAGTTCCTGTAATGCTAAGAAGCCATAAAAAGAACAGTTCTTCCTTTCATTGGCTAATCATTACAAGTGCTGCCTCACTGGTAAAAAAGAATACTTATATCTTTAATTGCCAATTATTTATTTTTAAATGTAAAAAAATATAAATGTTGAATATTAACGCATCTTATGTGTCTTTTCTATAGATATAAAGTAGAATGCTTTGTAATTTTCCATCTTGATCAGTAGGTTTGAAACAGTCACTTCAATTGTTAATTCCTACTAAGAGGTTAAATTGTGTTAAAAGGACAAGAATATTTGTTACTGTTTTTACAATAACTTGTATTTTAAAATAAAAGTTGCATGAGTAAGTTAGCAATGAAATAGAATAAATCATGACTTTTCCATTTTTAATACTGGGAGATTGATATGTACAGTGAGTAGTTTGCATTTGTGAAGGAAATCTTTACATTTCAGAGAGAAATTACAGATTTTATTAAATTTGAAAACCTAAAATCAAATAAAATAATATAAATCTGTCTTCAGTGGCTCTGGTGTTTTTAAACCTTCCTTTCTTCATTCATAGCTAGAAACGTACATTTTTATATGTATTTTTAAAGTCTTACTGCCCTTTTCATGTTTGTTACAAATATTTCCTACAAATTCTTTTGTCTTTTAATTTTAGGACATTTTGCTGTAAAAGGTATACATTTTAATATGGTCATATTGACTGATCTCTTCCTTTGTAACTCTTTCCATTACTTTATACCTAGAAAATCATTTCCTAGTCGACAGTTTAAATACTCACCTGTATTCTCTTTTCATTTTTAAAAACGATTGCATTATTTTATATTTGCCTCTATTCCAGATATTACTGACTCCTAGGTTGGACCCCAAAGACTCTAAGAACTCAAAATTCTATACATAATAGTATACATATTTATATGTTCACTTTTCTGTGTAAGATTTCATAACTTTTATTAGAATTTCAAAAGTGTCTTTCATAAACCCTGTCCTCCTCTCCTTTCCAAAAAAAGAGCTACTACAATTCATTTAAACTTTATCTGGATATAGTTGGTCTGCGATGCTAAGGTACTTTTTTCCCCTTTTCCCGGTATCCCAAACCATTTACTGAATAAAATAATTATTTCCTATGATTTGTGATGCCTTTGAAAAATAAATTTGGTTTTAATTTATCTCTTTTTATCTCTACAGAGAAAGTTAGAGAAATTCAAGAAAAACTTGATGCTTTTATTGAAGCTCTTCATCAGGAGAAATAAATTGAAATAAGTGAGTAAAACTCTTCTTTCTGCGTTGGTACTGATTAGACGCAAAATTTATATTTTAAACTTATTTTAACAGTTTATTTTCCTTGACTATATCCTGTTTGTTCTTTAATAATAATTTTAATGGCAGTAATCTCTGAAACTAGATTCTGAATTCCATATATGTTTCTTTGAATAACTTGATTGCTTTTTGGCTGAACAAAAAATATCTTCTAGAACTCATTTTGAACGGAACAGAAATGAACAAACAAAGATATTTTATAATAATGCACATGGCTCAAATTTTCTGCATGTAAAGAATGGAACTATAGCTCTCATTATTGTATTCCTCGTTGTTCATATTTGATGGATAATTATGTGTATGTTAACTTGCAAAGCTTTTTATTTGGCTTGACTAAAACTTTTACTAGTTCTTTATCTTACTCTCTTATATTTATTTAAAAACATTTAGATAAACCTTTTTCCTGTTTAAAGTAACTTAGATAGCCTTAGAATATAGTACTCTTCTGAATGTGTGGATTCTCTTGTCTAATTTTGTAGTCTGGCATTAGAAGCATGTTCCCAATTAAATATTGTATATTCAAAGACTTTTCTTAGTAGCATAGTCGATTATTAATTATTGCTGAAGAATTATAATGAGTAGTTCATTTGCTTCCTCATCATTTACTATCAGTAGTTAATTTTAGAGATCAACGTTTGAGAGCCTTCTTGATTTGGAGATTCTCCACTGCAGCACCAGAATTCACTTGATATTTTTGTTTACACATGTCTTTTTTTGCGGGGATGGGTGGGAGTTGGGAAGCATGATGTCACAGAAACCCTAATAAAAATACAGCAACATATCTTTTTAATGAAATGAGGAAGCCCAAAGCTAGCCAGTGTTTTATACAATAGTCAGTGTCACTTCCCTAAGCAGGTTACTTTGACATCTGGAGTTACCGTTGTTGCTGAGAACAAGCCTTTTTCTGCCAGAGTATCTGTCCCAAGTGCAGCCAGGGCAGTCCAAACTGGTTCTGTCCCAAGGGCAGCCAGGTGGGGATGGTAGTTGTGTACAGGGAAACCATCCCAACTTTCTCTGTTCCCTACTTGTCTGTAGTCTCCAAGGCCCTTTTCATCCCTTGGGATTTATGACTGTGAACTGTTACAAATATCTATGAAGTGGACAGATGATCTTTTAAATGTACCTTGCAAATCCATTTAAATAATAAATCTGGCAAAATGGTAGCCTTGCTTCATTCTGACCATTTATAAAAGTTACCAAGCATCTTAAAGAATAGTTTCTCGTCTACAGCCATGCCACCCTGAACGTGCCCAATCTCATCTGATCTCAGAAGCTAAGCAGGATCGGGCCTGGTTAGTACTTGGATGGGAGCCCACCTAGGAAGACCTGGTGCTGTAGGCATAAAAAAAAAAAGAATAGTTTCTCAGTGATAGTTGTAATATGTGTAGCATTCCTCAGCCTGATACTTTTAAGTAACTAATTCAGATACTTGGTCGAAATTGTTTATACCCAACACAGTCATACAAAGATTCCTTCTACTGATCAGTTTTAATATACTATTTTTACTTTTTTTCTCTAAGAAATTAATTTCAGTATTTTTTTAATTCATATATCGTGTTTGATAAAATCATGTTATATGATGGTAGGTGATATTTAAAGCTTAATAAAACTAGCAAACTTAAGTAATTAAGCTTCAGTGTTTTTATGATCATGCAATATTGTCTCCCTTGACTTAAAATTTATCAAATGTGCTTATTTTCACAGAATCCTACTCATAATGTCATTACCTCTGCATACATCTGAAGAAAGAAAACTCCGAAGTCTTTTGTCCTTCCTTTTTTTCTTCTGCTATTCTACCTTTCTAAACATGAAATAAAGTCATGGGATAAAAATAATTTAATTTATGTGTGTTAGAGGCACTTTAACTAGCAGCTGCCTTTTGAATGGAAGAACAGGGGAAATGGCATTAACATCCTATTTTATTGTACTGAAGTGACAAATTGGGTTAATGTAAGTTGTACGACCATTAGGTTTAGTCCTTAAAGATAAGAAACTTGCTCGCCTGCTTGTTGTCTCACTTGTGGTGGCTCTAGTTCAACGAATTCATTAGCCGATGTTACTCCACCTCAGTTTCTTTTCCAGAAAAAGAATGCTAAGTGTTCTGAAATAAAACTTACAGCAATTTTCTAAAAGCTATCAACTGTATATAAAATGATGGTGACCTGCTAAGTTGTTGTCCGTATCTGTAATGTTCTATATCCAGAAACTCTTTGACCATGATAATTCAATTTATATTCATCATGTGAAAGAAAACTAGTTAACAAAAGAACCCCTCAAATAGGATAATTTGGATTACAACAATTCTGCGTGTATTCAGTGAAAGAGATTTCAGCCCTCCGTTGATAGCTTATAGAGTTGCCTTAGAAGCTAAGTCACTGGCAGCTTACCTATTTGATTCAGTTGATGTTTTTGTACTCTCTGTGTCCATTTGAAATTCATTCATTTTGGACATTGTATACTTAAGCTAGGCTTTCTGTTAACAATGTTTTGTACCTGTTGACAGAGCTATTGGATTGTGAAACAGAAGAAGGAAGATTAAGAATAATCAATTGACTAATTACATTTAAATTATCGTCAAACATTTCAACTAGGTATCAGAAAAAGACTTCCTTTCATAAGACTGTATTTTAAATAGAAATTATTTCAACAATTAGAATAATGTTGACCATCCCCCTCTTAGCTGAACATCTAAAGAAAATATAAAGTTTAATTTATTGCAGTTCAATTACGGTGGTACTCTCACTTCATTTTCATGTTGTATATAATATTTTTTTATTGGCTAAAGGACTTTAAAGCAAAGAAATGTGCCATTTTTGACTTAAAACGTCTTTCTCATTTAACTCTGCTCTTTGCCGTCATTTCATTAAGCTTTTATCATTCTAATAAAAATGCACATTGTGTGACAGTTTTTATGTTACAGTTTATTTAATTTTATAATTTTCTTGGAATTATGTTTGGATAACAGTTCCTTTCCCACTTTTTTAAAAATTTAACGTCAATACAAAGAGAGATCTTCATGTGATCTCTCTCAAGATCTGACACTTAATATGCAAGGTCGAAGAATATCACAAAATAGTTCAGAAATTAAGACCAGTAAATATTTATTTTATACAGTTTGTTATGAAAAGCAGATCCAGCTTTCAGCAGCTGGTAGCAGTACACATTGTAATTTGGTAGATGAGCACTCATGAACATTTCCTGTGTGTTTTAGATCCAGGGATAGTGGATGAACAGAAAGGAAGTAGAGCCCTGGGTTCTGTACAAAGATTAAGAGATGAACTCTCTGGTTAACTCCTTCTAACCTGTGCTGGCTAGTAGGTAAACCAACCCCTTCACTGAAGCAGACATCATGCAATTATCTCTTTGTAGTTGTAAAAACCACTTTAAAACTGAAAACCTATTTCTAAATCGAAAAAGGGATAGGACCGTATTTGTTTATTTCTGTGAGCTCTAGATAGGAAAAAATGCCCTCAACTGCATTTCTACAGATTTCTCCCAAGCAAAAGGCTGATGTTAAGTCAGTACTTTTATCACGTCCCTTTGTATAAACTTAAAGTGGAGTAGGGTGTCTTTATTTCTTTGAGATCAGTGTTTGTAATTTAAATATATAAATACATTAAAATGTTATTTAAAATCCCATGTAAGAGTCCAGACATTTCCCCTATCTCCTCAGTAATAGGACATCTCTTGTGGATAAATTTTTTTTTCACTGATCTCATACTAAGCATGCCTTTTTTTTTCCCCTTGAAAGCTAGGTCTTTATTAAATGCAGATGTTACTAAAAGAAAAAACAAAATTCACATTTTCAACAGTAAACCCCATGTGCTGTGTTTGTAGTTCAAAAATTACAAATGATTCGAATTTAAATACATCACTTCAGAAATTCAATATATAGAAGTTAAATTTTAACTAGACAAGGAGTCATTTGTTTTTCATGTCAGGATTTGCAAAGACTAGAGTGAACAAAGCTCTATTTGGAAGACTGAACAACTATAAATAAATTATATCTAAAATTTACTTTGTTAGGGTATCAATTTTAAAATCGATATGTGTAGGCAGTGCGCAATAAGAAACAAGTTCTCGCTACTTCATGGCTGAACCAATGGATCTATACTTATAGGGGAGCAATCAGCCTTTTTTAGTAGCTTAATTATATTCTCTTTGAATTACCATTTCCAGACTTTAACAGACTTCTTCCCACAAATAGTTTATCCTCCAAATGCAAATTACGAATAAGGTAAAAGTGAGTAGGGAACATTGCAGAGTGGTGTTTCCTAACCTTATAGTTTGGGAACTTTACAAATGATAAGATTCAAAGTGTAGATTTAAAAAATAAATTCCTTAATTAGTAAATAATTTTATATTTATTTATATTAGATTGATTTATCTGCGAAAGGAAATACGGTATTTGAGTTTTCTGATAAAAGGGATCAAAGTAATGCTTTTTATCTCAATCTCTAAGCTGGTATATGCTGTAGTTTCAGATACTTTAGCAGTATGGAAATGTGCTTACAAATATGCTTACCTTTTGAACAATCATGGCTATGTTTAAATATTTTAAATAACCTTGTTTTTACTTGTGCACTGAGTGAACTTTGTATTATTTTTAAAAACCTTCACACTACATGATGTTATTGCAATTTATATTTTGCCTGTGCTTGATCTAAGGTCATTTGCGTAGATGAGTAATTAAAAATATTCTATAAAGAGAGCATCTTTTAAGTTTTCTCTGTTTTCATGAGGGAGAAAGAGAGAGACCTCTGCACCTACAGTCATAATTTGACCCCACGGTATAACCAGATTCAGGTCTAACCAGCCGCTTACTGTGTCTCTTCTCCAAATGCTTTAATTTCACATGCTTCACACTTCACAGTTGTTATCCATGGTCAAACAATGCTTTCTTTTCATGCCTTCATACTTGTCAAAATATTTTGATATTTTCTTTGCTAAAATATGCAAAAAATGTTTTTTAATTACATTTTGCTACCATGGCCATCATTTTTATCAGTGATGCCAATATGTCCCGTCATAAATGAGGCTTACTAAAAAGTCGTAACTAAGTCTTAAAACTGGAAGTTACCTTAAAGATCACGTGATTCTGCCTACCACCTGGATTATGAACTCTCATTTCTCATTTTTATTCCTCCCAGAATTTTGCTCATAAATGATGCTTATTAAATATTTGTTGATCAATGTGTAAAATAAGGCAGAATGTAGATGTGCCTTCAGGATTCTTATTAGTTGGCTAAAGTCAAAACTAAGAAAAGACTCACAAAGTCATGGTTGCTTCAATAAGTAGTACACAGTAGCTGATATATGCTATATTTTTGGTGAATAAATGTCGAGACAAGTCTTTCAATTCCTTTAGAAGATTTATAGGAATAACATGTTTCAATCTTATTTGCATTCATTTCACTTATCAGTCTTAACAGACCAATTCTGGTGTGAGACACGAAAAGTGGTTGTATTTTAAATTAAATTCCCCTTTTGTGCAATTCAAGTCTAAAATTTTCATCTATATAAAAAGTTTGAAGAATTTACTTCCTGAAAATTTAGTAGAGTAATTTATCTGTTGTCTTCTAATATTTCCAATTGAAGAATTAATATCTCTATCAAAGTGAGGTAGCTAGCCATGTACTTGTAAATGATACATCTATATTATTCACTTATATTACAAAATGTATTTTAAAATAAGCATACCCAATTTGTGATAACTAAGTCATTTTCTGCACATTAGACTAAGCTGATATAGAAGGCTGAAAAGTAACTTTTAAGTAATTATGACAAAAATTGTCAAAGATTAAAAAGCAAGAAAGTTTAAATGTGAGTAATCTTTGTAGAAGACAGTTTTATAGAGTAAGAAAAACGTGTGTCATAAAACATGGGGTTAAATCTATCTTGAAATGACATATTTGAGTTACCAGCTTGAAAATTGCCTGTATGTATATGATTGCTCTCTGAAAGGCTTCTTGTGAGTTATGTTCATTCTGTAGAACCAGTTTTGAGGTTCATTTGGGGTCAAATCCCTGATGAGGAAATAACCAACTTTTTACTGTTTTTAAATCATTCATTCTTTATGGTAAAGAATTCTTGTTATTTGTTTTGTTTTATTTTTAACTAATTAACCCAGGTGTATCCTGGTTCCTATTCAAGTATTTGAGAAAATTTAAAAAGTCATTTTTGAAAGTGACACTTCTTAATGTTCAAAATAGAATGTCCATTCTGCTTACTCTTGGAGTGACTAAATCACACAGCAACAACATAGAAATTAGAATTTTATCCACTTGTCAGAAAATATGGTCATGGTTTACATGATCTGGCACTTGCCAAAACTGTAAGATCGCTCGCATTTGTGAGAAAGTATGCAGGGAATAGGTTAACTCCATCTTCTTGCTTTCCTAAAATTTATCTGAGAATTAGGCCAAATCATCAGAAAGTGATACTGCCAGGACTACTTGCCTTTACCTGCCTCTTAATTTATCTAATATCATGCCTTTGGCTTTCATAGACAAATACTATATGTTGCACCTATTTGACGAAAATACACAGTATCTTTTGCAGAAGTAAAACCTAATAACATATCTGTTATCACTTAAGTTTATTAAAGAAAGGATTACTAGGTAATTCAGTGCCAGCAAAGTTTCCCACTCGAGACAAATACATATGATACTTTCCTTTCGTCAAAGAGAACTCAAGACCTTACCTGATTTTTGGTTCTGCTGCCAGAAAATATTAAAATTAATTTACCTCTTTAAGGTAGAACCTATTCGTTTTTCTGCTCCCTTAGTTTGTGGTTCATTTTTGTTTTTAATCTCTCTCTTCCATACAAGTAGTCATATATGACAAGTAGTCATATATCGTTAACAAAATGCAATGGTTACTATTTCTCTGTTAAGAAATGTAATTATCTAGAGGGCTTAAGTTGAAAGCTTTCACACTTGCAGTCAGTGATGTTCCAGGTGCCAAATGTAAATAATGTTTTCCTACAATCAATTTATATCAAAAACCAGAAGTCACCTAACCTGTGCCCTAACACAGCATGCCCCCAGTGACAATGGTGGACCCACCTCCTAGCCGCCATGAGCAATACTAACAGGAGGAGGACGTGTGTGGAAGAAAAGGGACAGCGAGATGTGTCAGTCCACAGCCATTCCAGGGATAGTAACACACGGAACTAAGAGCCCATTACAAAGGTTTTAGCAAGATTCAAAGAAGTATACTGTCACTAGCCATTAGCATTTGGGGATCCACCTGTGCCCTACCCCTCCACTGAAGCCTTTTTAATGGTCAGTATCCTATCTTGCCAAGGATCCCATGAATCTTTTGGGTTTTCCTTTTAAATGTTGAAGTTAAGGACTTGAATCTAGAGCTAAGGAACCAGTTTATCTCGTGTTTTGCATCCATTATCACGGGGTGTGTTATTTCCATTTTACAGATGAGGAAATAGGCTCAGAAAAGTTTTAAGTAACTTGTCCAGGTCATTCCAGTACATAGCAAAGTCTAAATTTGAAATCAAGTCCAGTCGTAAGCTTAGATAAGTTACAAAATATGCTTTCTCTCAAAAATACTTGTAGGAAAATAAATCTATTTATGAAAATAGGAGTACATTAGGGCACCGATACACTTAGAAAATGCACAATGAGCTAACTTTACAGAAATGGTCCAGGATGGTTTTTTCTAACTATATGAGGCTGTTGTTGCATCACAAGAATGGAAATATCAACAGAGATGTGTGGTTCCTTATAGGGCCCTGGAGGACTAGGCGATGTTGCGATTCAGAGGGCTCTAACCTCACATCTACCCCAGACCTTAGGTCTCAGTAGTAAGAATGATGACTTTGTCATTTTCCCTCAACCTATCCATCTTATCTATGCAGATTCTCTAATCTTTTTGAGTAGCCCATTATTAAGATACAGAATTATTTTTACCCCATGTTTAACACCTTGATTATTTTTTCCCCAGATTTCGATTGCCTGTTTGTTTCTAATAAATTTAACACTTGAAAGCTATTAGCGGAAGCCTTTTCAATTTTGACTGAATTTTTTTTCAGGAATATCATATATATACTTTAATTTTCTGGCCCTGCGAGTTCCTAGATACTTTCCAGCCAACATTCTCATGAGTTTATCTTTTCATGTATCAGACCATCCAAATATGGCTCCCTGCCCTTTTCTGCCTCTACCCTATCAGAGGCTCTCAGCAGTAGCACAAAGCTGCCATCATTTTCATACATTCAGATTTCTCTTTTTAAATATCTGAGACATTAATGTTCTTGCTAATTATACTAATTGCTATGGTCGTAGCTGAACCAACTGTGAGAATGTAGTTCCATTCACATCCAAAGTACTGTGTATTGTCACCCTATGGATGGACTAGGTAGGCATTTGGATCTCCACATTCTCTCCGTTGGGCGCCCCAGTCAGTGGGTTCGCCAGCTGTGTACCCTATGATTGGCTGGGCTTTTGATGTGCAGATACTACAAGTCGGTCACAAACTTGTGTACAATGGGCCTGTTCTGGTTCATGTGAAAATCAACATCCTTTTTTGTGTTCCCGGGTGACAGGATGCTACAATACTATTAGCATTTGCAAAGAGTGTGCTCTGTCCTAGGGTGTAACCGCAGATCGTGTGCTGCTCAGTTTGTGTTTCTCTATTATGTGCGAGACACAAAGAAGCTGAAGGCAGGCAAAGGCCTGTCAAATCCTGTAATGTAGCGCTCGACCCCCAAACTCCACTTGGCCTCCTCGCATCTCTTGTTCCCGGTCCCACCCCTTCCTCTGAATGGGCTCTGAGGTAGGTAAATGAATTCAGAGGCCTGGTGGGCGGGGGATTCCTTTCTGACCTCATTCCTGTACCATTTGTTTGCAGGCTTGTAGGGGGAGAGGAGGACTTTTTGGAGTCCTTTGTGTCAAATAATTTTCTTGCAGGTTGGGGAGTTAATGGTAACTTTGTCTGAAGCCAGCCGAGCAGAAAGCCTCCACGGACAAGGCGTGGCCTGTTCAGCTTCTCAAACGACAAGATGAGAACGTGGCAACAGGGAAATTTCTAGAGCAGATGGGTACGCGGCACGTCTGCATGTTCATCGTCTGGTCGTGGGAAGCTTAAACCTTCCCGTATGAATAAGATAGAGTAGTTCTTCCTTTCAAAAATATTTTCCTCTTTCTGAACTACCGTGGCTTTTATACTGGATAATCTTTACTGCAATCAGTTAAATATATTCTGAAATATTTTTAAAGCTGCCTACTACCTACATAGAGTATGATATGATTCCTAGAGGAGTTAAATAATTTTTACCCTTGGATTTACTTTGTTTATCTAGAAAGCGAACTATAGTTTTAGAACAGGGATATCTCTCTTGTTTTGCCAAAAAGAAGAAAAGAGGCCCAGAAAAAAGTAATTTGTTCAATGACTGGGAGAGAGAGAAAGAAGAGGGAGGGAGAGAGAAAGAAGAGAGAGAGAGAGAGAGAGGGAGAGAGAGAGAGAGAGAGAAAGAGAGAGAGAGAGAGAGAGAGAGGAAGGAAGTTGAGGATCTGGATATTCATATAAAATGTACCTCCTTTTAAATTTTTGAATTCTTAAGCAGTGTGAGTCAGGCAGAACAATGTGTGAGACTTTTTAAATTTTTGAATTCTTAAGCAGTGCGAGTCAGGCAGAACATCTATAACCACCTCCACCCGCCCGCAAGTCACCATTTGAAACCTCTGGTTTAAC